GCAGAATTCTACAAGAAATACAAAGAAGACCTAATGCCAACACTCCTCAAACTGTTCAATGAAATTGAAAGGGAAGCAATCCTTCCTAAGTCGTTCCTGGAAGCAAATATTACTCTAGTACCAAAACCTGAGAAAGACCCAACTAAAAAAGAGAACTATAGACCGATCTCCCTAATGAACACAGATGCAAAAATCCTCAATAAAATATTGGCAAATAGGATCCAGCAAATCATCAAGAAGATTATACACCATGACCAAGTGGGATTCATCCCAGGAATGCAAGGATGGTTCAACATACGCAAATCAATAAATGTAATCCACCATATCAATAAAGCCAAAAATAAGAATCACATGATCATTTCTATAGATGCAGAAAAAGCCTTCGATAAGGTCCAACATTTATTCATGATAAAAACTCTACAGAAAATTGGAATAGATGGTCTTTACCTCAATATAATAAAGGCCATTTATGACAAACCAACAGCCAGCATCATTCTAAATGGCCAAAAATTGAAAGCCTTTACTTTAAAATCAGGCACAAGACAAGGATGTCCTTTATCACCACTCCTATTTAATATAGTACTGGAAGTACTAGCCAGAGCAATTAGGCAAGAAAGAGAAATAAAAGGGGTAAAGATAGGAAAAGAAGAAGTTAAGATGTCGTTGTTTGCAGACGACATGATACTCTACATAGAAGACCCCCTAAGCTCCATTGACAGACTCTTAGATACAATAAATAAATTCAGTAATGTGGCTGGATACAAAATCAATACTCAGAAATCAATAGCATTCCTATACTCAAACAACAAAATCACAGAGAGGGAAATAAGAGAAACTGGATTATTCACATTAGCAAGCAAAAAAATGAAATATTTAGGAATTACTCTTACGAAAGAAGTGAAAGACTTATACAGTGAAAACTATAATACACTGAAAAAGGAAATTGAAGATGATCTCAGAAAATGGAAAGACATCCCTTGCTCATGGATAGGAAGAACAAACATTGTGAAAATGGCCATTCTCCCAAAACTCTTATACAGATTCAATGCAATTCCAATAGAAATACCATCAACATACCTTATAGATCTAGAGAAATCACTCCTAAATTTCATCTGGAACCAGAAGAGACCTAGAATCGCAAAGGCAATTCTAAGCAGCAAAGGCAAAGCAGGAGGCATCACAATCCCTGACTTGAAATTATACTACAAAGCAACAGTAGTAAAATCAACATGGTATTGGAATCAAAACAGAGGCGAAGATCAATGGAATAGATTAGAAGATACAACCACAACTACAAACACACTCAACCACCTTATCTTTGATAAAGGAGCCAAGCAGGTTCACTGGAAGAACGACAGTCTCTTTAATAAATGGTGCTGGAAAAACTGGCTCTCCATTTGCCGAAAACTAAAGCTAGACCCATGTCTATCACCATGTACTAAATTAAAATCTAAATGGGTCAAAGATCTGAATATTAAAACAGAAACACTAAATCTATTGGAAGACAAAGTGGGTAGAAACCTTGGAGACATAGGAGTAGGTAGAGAATTCATGAACAGGACTCAAACCGCACGGGAAACACTTCCCAGAATCAATAACTGGGACCACTTCTTATTAAAAAGTTTCTGCATGTCAAAAGAAATCTCCAGCATAGTGAAAAGAAAACCCACAAACTGGGAAAAGATTTTAGTGAACTCTCTCTCAGACAAGGGACTCTTGTCTAAAACATATAAAGAATTAAAAAAACTCAGACCTCCAAAATTCAAAGATCCAATCCAAAAATGGGCATCTGAGATGAATACGCAATTCTCAGATGAAGAAATGCAAATGGCAAATAAATATATGAAAACATGCTCATCATCATTGGTCATCAGAGAAATGCAAATTAAAACCACACTGAGATTCCATCTCACTCCTGAAAGAATGGCCAGGATCAAGAAAACCAACAGCAACAAATGCTGGAGAGGATGTGGGGAAAAAGGAACTCTCCTGCACTGTTGGTGGGAGTGTAGACTGGTACAGCCTTTGTGGAGGTCTGTCTGGAGGTTTCTCAAAAAGTTGGGATTGGAAATCCCATTTATTCCAGCTATTCCACTTCTAGGCATATTCCCAGAAGAACTGAAAGCATCATACCACAGTGATTTATGTGCACCTATGTTTATAGCAGCACAATTTGTAATCGCCAGATCTTGGAAACAACCCAAGTGTCCATCAACTGAGGAATGGATAAAAAAGTTGTGGTATTTCTATACAATGGAATATTATTCAGCTATAAAGAAGGATCACATTGAGATATTTATCAATAAATGGGCGCAGCTTGAGACCATACTCATAAGTGAAATAAATCAATCTCGCATGTATGAATACCGAATAGTTTCCCTAATGTAAGTAATGATTCAAATATATGAAAATATGTGGCAATCATGATTCCCCATTATGTGGCCTTGAAGCCTTATAAAATTTTCACTTATTAATTAGAAAGGCTTTATTCTGGGCTTCTTGATATGGAAATATTTGAAGCTATAGTATATGAAGTTTTATCCAAATATCTCAAGGAAAAAGACAGACACTATGGTAACTATTATTCTTTTAAAAAATTATTTAGTTATTTCTTATGTTTATTTTAATTAAGGGAAAAATTAAAAAAATTAGGATATATAATAGTAACTCTTTTCGATTTCCTATTAACTTGTTTTGAAGTCCTGTAATGCTCCCACGATCTTGATTTGACTGATTAGACTCTGTTCCATTCTGTGGGATAGTATCAAGTCTGAGGGTATAGGCAACTACTTTGAAGGCAATAAGATTCACTAAGATGCCCATTCTGGTTTGACTATTGTCTCCTTTGGAAGTCCTGTAATGTTTACAATGTCTAAGTTTTATTGGTCTTGTTCTCTACTGTTTTGTCCAACTTTATAATATCTAATGAGATAGACAAATCTTTTTAAGGAAACAAGAGACAACGTTGATAACTATTGTTAATAACTGTGTACTCTGTTCTACATCATGTGCTAAGTCTATCCTTGGTTTTGACTGACAGCTTTGTTCTGCCATATTTGACTTTATTCTCCCCCCCCCCAAAAAGTAATAAGAACTAAGGAGTAATAAAATCTAAAATGTGTAAATTTTGTTGTAAAAAGAGAGGAAGGGAAAAAAAAAGAGCTCTAACGGATATAACAGCAAGTGTGTTTAGGGGTGTTAAATAGCTGACTATATTAATGTTTTTGGATCATTGAACACAGCTGTTTGTAGTCTCTCTGTTTGAATGTCTACTTTGTATTCTTTGATACTGTGATTTGAGCAACTATTTCCAAGATGATAATATGTAATCTATTAACAGGTGATTTCTTACTGTTATGTTTTTTTTTTGTAGTTCTGTATTATATGTAACCTTACACTGCTTTGTTTTGTTTTGTGTTTTTCTCTTTTTCCTCTTAAATAAAAAAAAAAAACAAGATGGTAGCAAGGGAACTAAGGTTGTTATTTTACATAGTGATCCTCAAAAGAGCTCTATTTTTTCTCTTTAAAATAAAAAAGACACCAAGGTCTGTTTCCTCAGTACATATTTCTTTGGATGCTTCATTCCATACAATTGAAAAGACTACTGATAAAAAATTTCTTTCATTTGACTAAAAAGTGAGACATTTGAAAACATTTTGATTGCAGCCTCATTCTATACTTTCAAAAGAAAATTTTCTTAATGAGATATTTAATTTTAACTGTCAGAATTTAGCCTAAAATTTTAATGTTATGATTTCACTTAAAATTTTATTACTTTAGAATAATTTGTGCTTATAGTTATAAGGGCTTGTCAGGTGATGTCAATGTATAGTGATATTCATTAGTGGTAGATTCATTGCATAATGTGTGCATATAATTCAACAGTAAATTAATCCATGATCCAATAGACATTATCATTTTTATTCAACTTTTAATTTTAACTTTTTTACATGATTGGAATTCTATTAAATTTTTTTCTTAGTACACATTTGCACTACATACTATTACATTTATTTTGGCGAATTGTTTCAGATGTAACATACATTAATTCTTTTTATGTCCTTTCCCCTTTCCCTCTGGGCTGCATCACTTTCTATTTTTCTTCACTCTCCACCCTCCATCTTTTCAACTGTCTTTCCTTTTGACTAGGATACATCTTGCTACCTACTATAAACTTTATAATGTTCATTAATTAGGTCTCAGCTTTCTCATGTAAACTAAACCATTAATTATTTAAATGTGTGACTGATTTATTTCTCTGACATTATTATACCAAAGGGCATTGATATGACTACAATGACTCAAGTTCATCATAGCTTGTGACATGGTAGTACTCCATTCTGTGTAAAGACCACAAGTTCTTTATCTGCTCATACATTGATGGATATACAGGTGAATCAAGATTAAGCTATCATGGGTATGGGTACTATCCCCCTGCACTATGGGATTCTTCACGTTAGTGACTCAGTTCTCCTGGATGGTTGGATTTAATAGACAATAAATTTTGAGTTTCATATAATTTTATGCCATGAAATATAAGTAATGTCATCATTTCTTTCAATCATTTAAAATATAAAATCTATTCTGATATTACGGGAACCTAAAATGCATATCACAATTGATTTGACCCAAGTACCATAAATTGTTACTTCCTGCCTTGGATTTTGTTTGCAGAAACAGCAACAAAGTGATAAGGGCACATGTGGAACATGACAGGGATTCTTCCATTTACCCTGAGGTGTCTATGTCCAGGAACTTCACACAGCCTGTGGGAAAAAGCATTTATCTAACATTTGTCCTGCTCTAAAATAAAAATAATGTCCAACTCTCTCCCTGTGTATCTCTTGGAAATAACAAGGATCCTCAACTCTGGCGTGCAGTCTGAAAATTGGTCGCATTCCCAGTGTTTACTCGATGTACTGAAAGAAATGCCTATTTTGAGACCACAATAAGGTGGGCCAGAATTTTAATAAGAAAATTCTCTGGTATTTATTTTCCAGATTTCAACTTCAAAATAAAAACTATATGTTTTGGTGCTCTCATCATGTGCTTCCCAATATGTGTTCTTATTTGTTCACAATATGTGTGCAAGAAGAGATGTTGCAAAAAATGTAAGTACATAAAGTTATGATTCCTTAAGGAAACTGCACACTACTCAGAAAATTTTGACCTGGTTTTGGAACAGAAGAACAAGGGCCTCCCATTAGCAAAGGAGAGTTTAAGTCAAGGATCTGGAGATCTCACATGAATGTTTACTATTCTCCTTGGAGAGAAGTCATAAATTTAATTGCAGCACACAACATTTTAAAAAAAAGATTTTGCTAAAATGAAATCTATCACATGTACAGTCCATAAAGACTGTAAGTACACATCAAAATCCATAGTATGAATAATTAATATAAATGCTGAACAGATGAAAGCACTTAATATACTTGTGAACCTTATGACTATTACCGTAATTCTTCATTCCCTTCAGCTGTTAGAATTGCAAACAATAGATGAGATTTTAAAGAATCAAATTTAAACACTCTAACCAGAAGTATTTTAAAGGTGTAAACTGTTTTAATATTGAATATGCTGGCAAACAAAGAAAAGGCCGAATTCATTCCCACTTAATGATTCTGTAAAAGTATTCATAGTCATATAGAGAAATAGTTTTAATTATATGAGATTGTGCAATTGTTATTGTTGTCTCAGTTACTTTTCTCATTGCTAAGACAGAAATACCCGCCACCCAAAGTTAAAAGAGGCAAGATTTATTTGACCCACAATTTGTAGATGTTTCAATCTATACTAGGCAGGGTGGTATGGAAGGAAGACATCACAGTAGAGAAATAGTCCACAGCAAGGAGGCAGGCAGGCAAGTTCACATTAGCCTCTTTGTGCCCTTTGTAGTCTATATTGGGCTACCTGTCTTGGGCAGACGTAGCACTCAACCTCTTAATCCTAACCAGAATTAAGCCAATCCTGGGATGATGTAGCAATCAGGTACCACACTCTAGGCCAGGCCACCTCTGCAAAGGCCCATTTATAACTACATAAGACTTTAGAGAGATATCAGACACAACCCATAAAAATTGTTAAGGATAAATTTTGTTTCTATTTGAGTTTTACAACTTGAAAATACAGGTTACATATAGATCCAAAGTGATTACTATGTTGAAGCAAATTAACATACCCACTACCTGACATAGTTACTTCTTTTTGTTGGGGGTGGATTAGAGGCCAGTAGCATAAAAATTTATTCAGAAAACACTTCAGGAAATTTCCAATATTTAAGGAAGACATTTTTACTCAGAAAAACAGAGACATTTTGAATTCAAACGAAACATAACAGCAAAAGAATTTCCCCATAGTACAACGTAGTCAATTTGTCAGAAACCCAGAACAAACTGTAAACATGAACAGCTGTTGGAGAGAAAAGCTAAATAGTCTATACAGGCAAACACATCAGAATAAAAGTAGATTTCTTATCAATCCATAAAGTCCAGAAGAGTTTGAGGTGAGATTATATCAGCATGAATAAAAAATAATAATTGTGATCCCAATTCATTATATCCTTCAAAGATGTACTTCAAAACCAAGGTAGAAATAAAGCCCTTCAACCATAAGGATACACTAAAGAACTTCATGAACACCAAGCCAGAGCTGTAAAATATACTTAAGAGACTCAAGCACAGACAAAAAAGACAATGGAATTCATGAGTCCAAGGGCAATTTTAAACCTCATGGGGAGAATAGTTAAATGAAAATCTGAAAGGACTCAGACGCTGGAAGATTAGTCAACTGACAGGAATTAGTACATACTTTTAAATAGCACTCAATGTAGATAGTCTTGGCTCTCAAATCAAAAGAAGGTGAAGGTGTTACTTTATGATGTCAAAAGTTATCCATTGGACACCTCTGCAAACCGTGATAAAGAGGCCCAGGTGAAAAGACCATAACTTCAGCAAAAATGTTGTTTAATTCCCTGAAATGTAACCTAAGTAATTTTTGTTGGACTTAGGACCCAGTGTCAGAGGGTTGGCTACAACAGAGCTATTGGAGGTAGCAATGCATTTGTCACTTACATGATCAGCAAAGTTATTGATTTTTTTTAAATAATTTAAAACTAAGAAATAAAAGTAAGGGAAAGTAGGCAGTACATTCAGGTTTTCTTTCTGAGTTCAATAGTCTAAATATTTTTCAGTATTTATTGTCCATACTTAAATAATTATAGAAACATTGCCTACCATATGAAGCAAGAGGCAAAGTTTAATGTGCTATTAACTACACATTATTAGATATGTTATTAATTAAATATGGATAGTGAAACTGTTAATATGTTGAAGAAAATTAACATATTGATCAGCTCATACAGCTACTTCTTTTGTAGGGGTTGAGCTAGAGGCTAACAGTGTTAAAAGTTATTCACTGAAATCACTTCAGAAAATTTCTAATCTAGGAAATGAGATGGTTACTCAAGAAAATAAGGCATTTAGAATGCAAAACAGATATGACAAGAAACTTCCAAATTGGATCAAACTTCAAGATTTGATCAAACTGGCAGAGTTGCTCAAACTGACAGATTTGATCAAGAAAGGAGACCAAATTATGCATTAACTGCAAGTAATGACATATGCACAAATAGACAGATTGGACAAGGAGGAGTACAAAATAAATCATTGTGTTGTTTTCTTAGTCTCTATTGCCTTAATTTATGCTCTTATCTCTTTAATTTCCAGGCTGTGAATGACATTTGGGTTTGATTTGTTCTTTCTCTAACAGTTTCAGGTTCAACACTGTTTACTTGAGCTTGTTCTGTTTCCTTGTGTGAGCTCATCGCTATCCATTTCCTTCCCAGCACTGCTTCTCTCACACCCCATGGGTTAACATAGGTTGTATCAGCACTATCATTTAATTATACATGCTGCTTAATATTTGTTTTAATTTCCTCTGTGACCCAATAGTTGTTCAGAATGTTATCGTTTAATTTGCATTTGTTAACGTAATTTTTGTGATTTCCTTTGTCATTCATTTTCATTGTGCATGTGTTCAGATATACGTGGGATGATTTAAATTCCTCTACATTTATTAAAACATGTTTTGTCACCTACTATGTAGGCTATCTTGGAGAACAGCCTATGTGGAGCTGAGGAGAATGTGCATTCTGATGATTTGGGGTGTAACTTTTCATACATATCTACCAAGTCTATGTATTCACAAGCTGGTTTAATTCTAGTATCTCTTGTTGATTTTTTTTCTAGTTGATCTATTTTTTGTGAGAGTGGGGTATTAAGATCTGCCACCACAACTGTGTTAATGTTTATTTGGTTTTTCATGTCTGTTAATATTTTTCTTATGTAGTTGTATGAACCTGTGTTTGGTGTAGACTTACGATTGTTATCTCTTCATTTGCAGGTATTTCCTTAACATTTATGTAACGACCTAATTCGTCCCTTTTGATCAATTTTGGCTCAAAGTTTGCATTATCTAAAAATAAAATAGCTACACTTGCTTTTCTCTGGGGTCTTATGGCATGGAGAATTTTATCCATCTTTTGACTATTAGTCTATGAATATCGTTTTGGGTTATATGTTTCTTGATTGCATCATATTGTTGGATCTTACTTTTTGATCCATTCAGCCAGCCCATTTCTTTTGATTGGTGAGTTGACACCATTTATGTTGATGGTTATAATTGACATTTATTGGCTTTTCTTTTTCCTATTTGTTCTTGTTGTTTGTTCCCTATCTTTCTCCTCTGTTTAACTGCTTTTCCTGCCTGCTGTCTTTTTCTGTTGGTGTCCATGTGTTAGTGGTCTTTGTTAACTCTTTCTAATATGTGATTCAGAACATTCTATACAGCTGGTTTGATGGCCATAACTTTTTTTTTTAAATTAAGGAGAAAAAGAAAAAAAAACAGAAAAAGGGTACAAGTAATACAAAATTTAAAAAATAAACAGTAAGAAATCACTAGTTAATAGATTACATATTCTCATTTTAGAAATAGTTGTTCAAGTTACTAAATTAAAGCATACAAAGTGGACCTTCACACAGTGAGACTGCAAACAGTTTTGTTCAGTGATCCAACAAAACTCAGTAATATGGTATCTATCTTATACACTTACACATATATGCAGTTATAACCTTTAGAGCACTTTCTTTCTTTTTTCCTTTGTACAATGACAATTACACATTTTGGGTTTTATTACTTCCACAGTTCTTATTACTTTTTTTGAAGAGAAAACCAAATGCAACATATCAGAACAAAGTCAGTCAAATCAAAAGGATGGACATAATAGATAATGTAAAAACAAAATACAAGGTGATCAACAATGGTTACCATACAGCCTCTTGCTATCTTAAGAAGAATTGCCTATATCATAAGTTATAATAAAATTGAACAAAACAGTAAATAATAAAACCAAAACATTAGAGACATTACAGGACTTCAAAAGAAGATAGGATGGGTATCATAATGAATCTTATTGTCTTCACAGTTGTTGCCTATACTTTCGAACTTGGTACTATCAAGCTAAGCAGAATAGAGGAAAATCAGTCAAAACAAGATGGGGAGGGCAATACAGCGTTTCAAATCAAGTTAATAGGAAATCAAAGTAGGTTACTATAATGTATCCTGCTATTTTTATTTATTTTTCCCTTTATTAAAAAGATAAAAAATAAAAAAGTAAGTAATTTAAAAAAGGAGATTGAGATAAAAGAGGGCATAACAACAAAACAGCACAGGTCAAAACATAACCATTTAAGCAAAATAGTGTTTCACCACAAGATATCCTGACATAAAAATAGTTACCATAGTGTCTCTTTCCTTGAAATCTTTGAGTATAACTTCGTATACTGTAGCACCAAACATATCCAGACAATGTAAAACCATTCAAGAGAATGACATTATCACAGAATATTAAGAACCAACCAACAGAAAATGAACAATGGTTTCTGTATAATCTCCTTGTCTATAAAAGTTCCTGCTTATAATATCACATATAATAAAATCCAATAAGATACAAGCTGTTAAGACTGATGGAGACAGAAGAATAAAAGCTTGATGGGACTTCAAAACAAGATGGTACTAAAACAGCACTAGCTATTATGATATCTTGTTTTCTCCAAAATAGCTGCTAATTTTAAATAATGCTCAGTCACAAAGGAAATGAGGAAAACAAAACAAAATATTTTATTGTATAACATGATCATTTGTAGTAGTATTTAATTGTGAAATGATTCTTCTGATACATTCATGTGAAACAGAAATATTAGCATTTCTGTCACACTCACAGTGTTCCCACAGACAGAACAATAATGGCAGAGATTATCCATGGCACCTAACCAAAAATAAATAATTAAAATGGCAAATTGATGTCATGCTTACTTTATCTAAAATTCTAACGTGGAAGAGCAAATTCAAGAACAACAAGCAGTGTGTCCTTCCTCTAATCTCATCTTGCTCTTCCAACTATGCTTAATAATTAATTTTAAGCACCATAAATAATAAATACGACCCTTCTTGAAAAGTGTTTTCATAGATTTTGGAGTAGAGAAGCACCTAATAAATGTCAGTGCATTAGGATTATTTTTGCTTTGCTTTTCTTTCATTCTGATTCTTGTATGATTTTATTTTTCAGGCAAATGTAGGGATAGCAAAGATAAAGCTTAATCACATTTTATGAACACAATCTGAGCTTCCTGTAATCATTTATTCATACTTTCATACTTATTCATCCTTCTTTGTTCCTTTGTATCAATATCTTTGATTTTTTTAGATCTTAACAGATGAAAATTATTTAACCATTTGTTATTCTCTGTCTCTCCCAATCATTTAGCTGAGTTAGCTTCTAAGGCAAATAATACTTGATCCAGTCTGATTTCATTTATCATTACTACTCTTATTTCATCAATATTTCTTATTTGTTTTGCAGATAAAATGGAAAATGGTGAGTTTCAACTCTTGATCCACTTTGATTGAAGATATTACTAAGTTGAACCATATTTTAGGCAATTAAAAGACACAAAGGGTATCTTACTCTTCCTCATTTAGTGAATAAATAAGACATTACCTCTAGTGAAACTACGCAGCTTGCAATTTGCTTCAATTTCATATAAATTCAAAATATTTCCTGTTGGCTTTTCAACTGGCAAGTTTTTTACTCATTGATTGCTCAGAAAAAAAGTAATGTATTTTAAACAAAAGTTACATTGTTTATCTTGACAACATAACTTAAGAAACTTAAACAAGGGCAGTCTTTGCTTTCATGTAAGAGCCATTTATTTCATTTGAAGATAGCTTCTATTCATTAGTTATCTTTATTTAGTTAAAGTTAATCCAAAACATATACATTCTAAAGTGTACAACTCAGTAACAGTAGCACATTCAGTGCTGTGCAATCTTCATCTTTACTTCTCAGAGAGTAATTATGAGTCTCTAATCTTGAGGCCCCCTGAGAAGGCACTTCTGGTTCCTACAGCAGTCAACCTTTGATGGTCACTGCTCTGATTCTGACTCCATGAATTTATCTGCTCTGGTTTCCTCCTAATGAAGTTACAGTCCATGAACATTTGAGTCCTCCTTCTTTCATGTGTACATAATTGCCAAGATTCATACCAAAACTTCGTATCTTTTCAAGGCAGAGCACCCTTAACCGGGGTGTCTGAGCTTGAGTACCAGTCAGCTCGAATATCTGAGACACTTGCACCATTCACCTCATGATGGACACTGGGGATTGTGATTACTGGGGATACTATTGCAGTAGACCCTCCCACACAAGTACACGTGTGAGCACCTGCTTTCACATTTGAAGTAGCTTATAACTGGGAATTGAATTGTTGCATCATATGGCAGAGTGTATGCTTATTTTAAGATAGCTGAAATGTATTCCAACCTGATAAAAAAGCTTAAATATTATGTGATTTCTCTTATGTGAGGAATTCAATACGTAAAAATAGTGCAAAATAAATGTTAGACGATCAAAGAAAAGGGATTAGGAAAATAACACCATTTAAGTTTTCCACTAAGCATGTACACAATTTAACTTTGTCTGCAGCAATTATAAGACGTGTGTGTGTGTGTGTGTGTGTGTGTGTGTGTGTGTGTGTGTATCACGACCAGCTCAGTATCTGTGAAGTATTGTATCATGGCTTTTATTCAGATCTTCCCAGCCATGAGAGAAACTAGTCACTTTTTCATGGGCATCTTTCCATTTTTCCATCTTGGAAGAAACATCCATTTATGTCATTCTTTTTGTTTTGAAAAGCAATTGTTATTTCATTGTACTTAAGCTGCAACAGTTTATTGTCTTTATACACTTTGCAAATTTTTATGATAAATTCTCAATTTTTCTTTAACTGCTTTTACCTCTTTATCATTTTAAAAAATCCATTCCAAAATCAAAAGACATCAAGAAATATCCCATTTGTATAATTTGAAGATGTTTATACTACAAAGCTCTTCCATCAAAATATTGGATCCACTATGCCTCTGTTTTGAGTAAATACTAACAATATGAGAATATTTAAAATATTAATAATAGGATCATTTACATGGAGTAATAGTGCAGATGTTTTTGCTACTCTGGAATTTTTCTGAAAGTTCTAAAGACCTGAATATTTAACTCTTTAGACATAGCAACTTGGTAATAGAGGAGTGTTCCTTAAAGCAAAGTATTTTTGTTGTATTGAAATGATTTTCTCTAAAATGAAAAATATACATAACTTATAGATTCTCATCTAATACATAATAAAACAAATTGCAAGAAAATAAATTAAAATATCTAGGAATAATTGCAGTACTTTAATAAAAATGAGCACTGACCACAATTAATTATTTACTCTTTCATAATTGCTCTGATAACATGAGCATATCATTCTGAAGATGAAAACAAATAATATAAAAAGAATGAGAGTGGGTGGTTTTGACTAGAAAAGATGGTTGAAAAATATAGGAAGCACAAAATGAATGAGAGATCAGCAAAATCAGACTACTTGAAGGAACCATGTCCAATACATGACATGAGTTACTTAGAGGGAGTAAATTCTCCCATATGTACTCACAGCAGGATCTGCACTCATCAATGTAACAGAGTACAGAGCCTTAGGCTGCAATGTTGGGTTTAGTGCCAGGGCCACTGACAGCAAGTGAGGTGAATTTTCTCACAAAATGTTTACTGTTGCATAATCTTAATACTCTAGGAAGCTGAACAGCATACAAATGCAGTTCACCAGTTCTTTATTTTTCTGACAATTCAGTTGCTGTTAAAATCTTTCATGGGCTTCGACTTAGAAGTGCCCGAAGTACTGTCTCACTGCTTATCATCTCACAAGGAAGCTTCATTTTCATCAAGCCAGAGCCAGAGACTAGGAGCCTCACCTTTCCTTTGAAGGGAAATTACGTACAAATATCATTGCATTACTAGAGCTTTTGACTAAGATGTTCATAATTGAAGGTGAAAAGGTCTTTTTCAGTAGTACTGACAGTTACGTGATACTGCGTGATACAAGATACGTATCACGAGATACATATCAGTTACATGATACGAGAATCTTGTTACATAAAATCACCCTTAAATTTTAGGACAACAGACTCTTTACAAACACAGGAATCAGAAATGTTACTGTATCTGTCTTACACTCTACTTCCACAAACCTATGAATTCTGTCCCTGTGCCTTCAGGGTCCTCACCAAAAAGAATTAAATACCAAGGCAAATTATGAGAGATTCACTTTGCATAAACTTCTAACTATGGAGCAAGCAGCCGTGAAAAACAAGAAAAGTGTCCTGCCTCTAACCTCATGTTACTATTACAAGAATAGTTGCTATTTATGTGCTGAGCACTGCAGATGGTAAACATGGTGCTCCTTCCCAGGCATTCTCTTGGAGCGTGGGGCAGAGGAGCATTCAGGAATATCAGTAATTTTAGAATCATTTTGTTTCTGTTTGATTGTGAGTTTCATATGCTTTTATTTTTCAGAACAACTCAGTACAGAGAAGTAAATTTTAATAATATTTTAGGTACTAAACATAATTGCTACATAATGTGTAATTACTTCCTAATTTCTCCAGTCCTTCTTGATTCTCTTGAAAAAAGATTTGTGATTTTGATATATTCTTATTTTAAAAAATCCTTAAACATTTTTGCTCTCTCTCCCTATCTCACTGTCTCTATCCCTCCCTCATCACTCTCTATCTCTATGTTCTACCCCATCTGTTAAGTTACTTTTTCCAAATACTCCTAATATTTGATCATTTGTGGCTGCATTTATAAGATATTTCATTGATTTCATCACTATTTCTCATTTGTTTTGCAGACACACTTAAAAGGGAACATGGTGAGTTTCAATTCTTGATCTAATTTGATTAAAGATATTACTAAATAGAACCAAATTGTAAGCAATATCAAAGGAGCAAAAGGTATCCTCATCTTCATAGGTCATGGAGTAAATAAAAAATTGTCTCTAGTGCACCTTTACTACTAACTTTCCATTTTGATTAAATTTCATATGTATTGAAATTTTTTCCTGTTTACTTTCAACTGCCGAGTTTTTCTCTAATGGCTTGTTCAGAAAAATCAAAGGTTTATTAAACAAATGTACACTGTTTTATCTTGATAAACATAAACATTAAGAAATGTACACAAAGCCAGTTCTCCATTCCATGGAAGAATCACTCATTTCAGTTGAAGATCACTTCTATTGTCTAGCTATGTTTACTGAGGTAAAATTAGTCCAGAACGAAAATACTCCTATGAAGTGCACAGTCCAGTGACACTTTGTGCATTCACAGTGCTGTGAAACTCTTCACATACCTCCCAAAGAGTCAGCATGCAAACTCACTCCAGCCCACGAGAAAACACTTGGGGTTGGTCTGATAACCCCTGTTCCACTCTCTGTCTCTGTAAATTTACCTCCTATGGTTTTCTCATTACTCTGCCAGTCTGTGAACATCTGTATCAGCCTTCTGTCAGGTGTATACGATTTTCCATATTTGTGAAGTTTTAATATACATCAATACTTGCCATCTTGTCATGGCAGAGTACCATTCAACAAGTACATCTGAGTCTGAGTATCACTCACCACGTACGTGAAATCCTTTCTCCACTGACCTCATGATGAACACTGAGGTTTCACCAGCTTTTGACCCCTGTGGACCCTCCCACACAAGTGTATGTTTGAGAACCCGTTTTCACATTTGAAGGAGCATATGTCTGGGAATGGAATTGCTGGGTCACTATGGTTCTTTTTGAAAAGGTGATGAAATATTCTGTGAAAATGTCTGGTGAGATGGCTCTATTTTTTAGTAATTTATAGAAAAACAGATGCACCTAGAGACCAAAATGTCAAGTGAAGTAAATCCTAGAAGCTTAAATACCATATGATTTATCTCATATAAGAATCTAACTATTTATAAACAGTTAAAAATGAATGATAGACAATCAGAAAAAAGAGATAGGAAAATACTACTATTTAACATTCCCAGTAAGGAAGTACAAAATATGAACTTGGTTACAGTTCTTATAAGACACTTAAATGTGTGTATTTGACCATCAGAGCCTCCTTAGCACCAGTGAGACGCTGCATTATTGCTTCAGTTTGCATCTGCAAGGTCACAAGAGACACCAGGCACCTTTCCAGGGCCTTTCTTCATTTTTCCATCTTCTTGGCAGAAACTTCCATTTTCTGTCCCTCTTTTTGTTTTTAAAATGAATTGTTATTTTATTTCATTAAGCTGAAAGTATACATTGTCATTTATACACGTTGCAAATTTTTATTACATTCAAGTTATCAATTTGTCTTTTACTGCTTTTGCTTCATTTTCATTTCTAAACATACACTCCAAAATCAAAGGGCATCAAAAAATATCACATTATATAATTTGCAGATGCTTATACTCTGAAGCTTTTTCAGGAAGATAATTGATTTACGTTGGCTTCAGTTTGACTAAATAATTTCAATATAGGAAAATATTAAAAATATGAAGTAGAGGCTCATTTATACAATGGAGATTTTTTTTCTAAACAGAAATGTTTCTCAGAAATGAAGAGATTTTCAAAGGACCTTAACTACTTGTACATCGCAACACGGTAATGAAAGAATGTTCCTTTATGCAAACAACTTTTGATCTAGTAAAAAGATTTCTCTGTAAAATTAAAAAGTATACTCACCTTATAATTAATTGCTCCACTAGTATATATTTAAGTAAAATATGAGAAAATGAATTGAAATATTTAGAAATCATTGCCTTATATTAATGAAAATAACTAGCAAAGAGAATTTTAATTTTGAATCTTTTCAAATTTATCTGATAATATCAGAATTTCATTTGAAGATGACAACAAACAATACAAAGAGAATGAGAGTGAGTGGTGAGTGGACATAATCAGAAAAGGTAGCTGAAAAATTTGAGGAGACAGTAAATTAATAACATATCAGTACATGGCAGAGAATCTTTTGAGGACTATAGTAGGAAATTCTCCCATAGAAACGCATGGCAGGTTTTGCATTCATCTGTGTAAAAGGCGATGGGGTGTTAGTCTGTACCGTGGAGTTTAGTCACGGGGTCATCACAGCCAGTGACATGAGTTTTCTCACAGGACTTTACTGGTTTGTAACCTTAGTTCTCAGGAAGCTGCATAGCACACAAAACGCAGCTCACTAATACTTCTTTGTAATGATTGACTTGCTCTTAAAATCTTTCACAGGCTGCTACATAGATGTGCTTCAAAATAATGTCTGTCACTATAGCTCATCATCCTATAGTGAAGCTTAATGTTTGTCAAGCCACAACTGAAGACTGAAGGTGTCAAATTCTCTTGAAGGGAACTTACGTCTAAATATTAATGTATCACCAAGTCAGATTTTGACAGAGATGTTCATAACGGAAAATAGAAGGCTATTTTTCAATAAAGCTGGGAGTTACCCAGGTGCTATAGAGACATAATCTTATGTTAAATAAAATCATCACTGTACAATAGTAGCTAGTGACAACAGGATTCAACTCCCACAAACAGAATTAGTGGATGTGTCTGGTTCACACTCTGCTCCCACAGACATCGATGTCGTCACTGTTCCTTCAGGGTCCCGACCAAAATAAATAAATAAAATGGCAAATTGATGTCAGAATCACTTTGCATATTTTTTAACTGTAAAACAAGAAATTGTGAAAAATAATAAAACGTGTCCTTCCTCTAATCTCATCTTAATCTTCTACATGTGCTTACTAATTTAGTTTCTGAACATGGTAGATTGTAAACATGATGTCCTTTGAAGCATTTTCATAAAGCCTGGTAGAGTGGAGAAGTATTCATGACTTTAGAATCATTTTGTTAATATTTTATTTTGATTTTTGTATGTTTTTATTTTCTTAGATCTACTCAGAAGAGAGAATGGTGAGTTTTGATAACTTTTTGTGTACAAAATACAACCTTCCTACAGTTATATATGACTAATTCCTTATCTTTCTAATTTTCATTACTACTTTATAGAAGCATCAATTTTTAAATTTATCTATTCTAATAAAAATCCTTTAAATACTCTTTCTGTTCTTTTCTAAAACTTAATTCAATTTTCCCCACATGTATTACTTGATCACTTTTGATTGCATTTATAAGTTACTTCACTGATTTTAGCAATAATCTTCATTCGGCAAGTGAACTCAGAATGGAAAATGGTGAGTTTCTAATCTTGATCTGCTCTCACAAGAATAGTACTGATAGAGCCATATTTTTAGCCATAATAAAGATGTGAAGGATATCTTCATCTTCAAGGTTTACAATAAATAAAACTTTGTCTCTAGCACACTTCTACTACTCACTTTGCGTTTTTCTTTAATTTAATAGGTTTCACCATCACATGTCTACAAATTATGTAATTTAAGCAAGACCAGTTCTTGATGTCTGAGTTAACACTGTCTCATTTCATTTTATGAATGCTTGTACTGAATAGTTGCTTTAATTGAAGTAAAAGCCATGGTGAGCTAAGACAGCCCCTCTACAGCACACATTCAGTGACCTCCAGTACACATCAGGACTGTGCCACTCTTACCTGCTTGTAGCTCCCAGAGCAGCATCCGGTGCACTCAAGGTGCCATTAGCAGTCAGCTCTGCTTCCCCACACTCAACTCAACCTTCGACAGTCACGGTTCTGCTTTTCCTCTGTTTTTCTGCTTTGTCTCATCTGCACTGCTTACCTCACATCTAGGGCACTACAGGGTATATGACATTTTGTGGCTGCCTACTTTCGCCTGTATAGCATTTTCCACCTTCAACACGTTGTAATGGTGTCAGTACTTTATTTTTCTTTTGACTAACACGGGTGAGTATGTGCAATTGTTTTTAAACTTTTACCTATGGACTTAGGGATTCTTCACATTTTGGGCTAGTGTAAATACTATTTTCATGGACATTCCTGTACAAGTACATGATTGAGGCTTGCTTTGTCATTTGAAGGAGTCGACACTGGGAATGGAAATGTTGGAGCATACAGATTTTACTAAAATTTTCCCCATAAAAATGCCACTATTTTTGAGTCTCCCATAGAAAAATAGATGCACCCTGAGACTGTAATGGTTAGTGACATAATTCAGCTAAAATGTCTCATTGTTTCTTCTATCTGGGAAACTAAATCTATACACAAAGAGCAAAAGAAAGGTAAATGATAGGAAAGAGACAGACAGAGAAAATAGCACTACTTCACTTTTCCACTAAGAATGTACACAATTTAAATTTCTGTACACTGTTTCCAACACATCTTCCCCATTTTTTGTTTATAAAACCTCACTAGTGCATGAGAGTAGTGTATCATCACAACCATGATCTGCATCTCCCTATTCCTGTCTCTGTGCCTTCAGGGTCCTCACAAAAAGAAATAAAAACAATGACAAACTAATGAGAGACTCACTTTGCATAAACTTCTAACTATAGAGCAAGCAGCTCTGAAAAACAACTAGAAATGTGTCCTGCCTCTAATCTCATGTTACTCTTTCAAGCATATCTACTAATTATCTGCTGAGCACTGTAGATGGTAAACTTGGTGCTCCTTCCCAGCCATTCTCATGGGGCCTGGTACAGGGGAGCATTCAAGGAATATCAGTGATTTTAGAATCATCTTTTTTTCTATTTGCATGTGTAATTGTTATGTTTTCATTTTTCAGATCAACTCAGAACAGAGAAGGGTGAATTTTAATAAAATTTTAAATTGTATGTACAAAATACAATCTTGCTACAGTTATGTGTAACCACTTCCTAATTTCTCCACAGCTCCTTGCTCCATTCAAAAGGGATTTTTTGTGATTTTGACATATTCTTATTTTTAGAAATCCTTCAAACTTTTTTGCCCTCTCTCCCTATCTCACTGTCTCTATCACTCAGTCTCTCACTCTCTCTCTCTATGTTCTACCCCATCGGTTAACTTACTTTTTCCAAAGACTCCTAATATTTGATCATTTGTGATTGCAATTTGTATGTTATTTCACTGATTTCACCAATATTTCTCATTTGTTTTGCAAAAATACTTAAAAGGGAACATGGTTAGTTTCAATTCTTGATCCACTTTGATTAAAGATATTACCAAATAGAATCAAACTATAAGCAATACCAAAGGAGCAAAAGGTATCCTCATCTTCATAGGTCACAGAGTAAATAAAACATTGTCTCTAGTACACCTTTACTACTAATTTAGCATTTTGTTTAAATTTCATATGTATTGAAGATTTTTCCTGTTTACTTTCAACTTTTTCTCTAATTGCTTGTTTTGAAAAATGAAATGTATTTTAAACAAAAGTACAGTGTTTTATCTTGAAAAACATAAAAATTAAGAAATTTACCCAAACCGATTCTCCATTCCATGGAAGAATCATTCATTTCAGTTGAAGATCACTTCTGTTGACTAGTATGTTTATTGAGGTAAAATTCGTCCAGAACGAAAATACTCCTGTTCAGTGTACAGTCCAGCGACACTTTGCACATTCGCAGTGCTCTGCAGCCATTCACATAGCTCTGAGAGTCAGCATGCAAAACTGCCTCCATCCTACAAGAAGATACTTGTGGTTGCTCTGATGACTCCTGTTCCACGTTCAATCTCTGTGAATTTACCTACTCTGGTTTCCTCATTACTCTGTCAGTCTGTGATCATCTGAGTCAGCCTTCTGTCATGTGTACATAATTTTCGGAATTCATCTAGTTGTAATATACATCAATTCTTGCAATCTTGGCATGGTAGAGTACCTTTCAACGAGTACATCTGAGTCTCAGTACCAGTCAACCACCTATGAGAAAGCCTTTCTCTGTTCACCCCATGATGGACACTGGGGTTTCATCAGTTTGTGACCCGTGTGGACCCTCCCACACAAGGGCATGTTTGAGCACCTGTTTCAGATTTGAAGAAGCCTATAACTAGGAATGGAATTGCTGGGTCACTGTGTATCTTTTTGAATATGTGCTGAAAAGTATCCTGTTGAAATGCCTCTTTTTTTGAGTCATTTGAAGAAAAACAGATGCACATTGCGACCAAACTGTCAAGTGAAGTAAAGCTGAATCAGAAGATTAAAAATCATATGATTTCTTTCATATAATAATCTTACTATGTATAAACAGTTCAAAATGAAAGACAGCAATCAGAAAAAAGAGATAGTAAAACAGCACTAGTTAACTTTCCCAGTAATGAAGTACAAAATATGAACTCATTTACATTCTTATAAAACTTTTACATGTGTGTATTTTACATCAGAGCCTCCTGAGCGCCTGTGAGACGCTGTATTCGTGCTTCAGTTTGCATCTTCAAGGTCACAAGAGACACTAGGCACCTTTCCATGGGCCTGTCACCATTTTTCCCTCTTCTTGGCAGACACACCCATCTTCTGTCCCTCTTTTTGATTTTAAAATGAATTGCTATTTTATTGTCATTAAGCTGAAAGTGTACTTTGTCATCTACACGCTTTGCCAATTTTTATTACATTCAATTTATCAATTTATCTTTTACTGCTTTTGCCTGATTTTCTTTTCACAACGCCCGCTCCAAAATCAATGGGCATCAAAAATATCACATTGTACAATTTGAAGATGCTTATGCTCTGAAGCTTTTTCAGTAAGATTTTGATCTACTTTGACTTCAGTTTGACTAAATACTTTTAATGTGGGAAAATACTAAAAATATAAATGGAGATTTTTTCTAGACAGGAATTTTTCCCTGAAATGAAGATATTTTCAGAGGACTTTAACTACTTGTACAATGCAACGTGGTAATGTGTTCCTTTACACAAAGTACTTTTGATCTAGTAAAAAGTTTTCCCTGTAAAATTAAAAAATAAACACACTTTATATTCTCTCTTATATTCATGTATATTTAAATAAACTGTGAGAAAAGAATTGAACTATTTAGTAAACATTGCAGTACATTAATTAAAATAACTAGCAAACAGAATTTTAATTTTTACTCCTTTTAAATTTATCTGGTAATGAAAGGATTTCATTTTGAAGATGACCAAAAGCAAAGAAAAAGGGAGTGAATGGACATAAGCAGAAAAGGTAGCTGAATACTAGAGGAAACAGTAAATGAGGTATTAGCACATAGCAGAGAAACTTTTGAGGACCATAACAGGAAAGAGTTCTCCCATAGAAACCCATGGCAGGTTGTACACTCATCTGTGTAAAAGGCGTTTGGGTTGTAGTCTGTACCGTGGAGTTTAGTCATGGGGCCAATCACAGACATTGGCATGAGTTTTCTCACAGGACTTCACTGGTATGTAACCTCACTACTCAGGAAGCTGCACAGCACACAAAACATGGCTCTGTAATACTTCTTTGTAATGACTGACTTTCCCTTATAATCTTTCACAGGCTGCTTCTAAGATGTGCTTCAAAATAATGTCTGTCATTATAGATTATCATCCTACAGTGAAGTTTAATGTTTATCAAGCCACAACCAGAGACTGAGGGTGTCAAAATTTCTTGAAAGGAACTTACATCTAAATATTAGTGCATCATCAACTCAGCTTTTGTCAGAGATGTTCATAATGGAAGATAAAAGGCTATTTTTCAATAAAGCTGGGAGTTACACAGGTGCTATAGACACATAATCTTTTGTTATATAAAATCATCACTTGATAATAGTAGCTGATGACAATATTCATCTACCAAAAAGAGAAGGAACAGAAATATTAGTGGATGTGTCTGGTTTCACACACTACTCCCACAGACATACCGATGTGGTCCCTGTTCCTTCAGGGTCCAGCCAAAATAAATAAATAAAATGACCCATTGATGTCAGACTCCCTTGCATTGATTATTATCTAGGGAACAAGAAACTGTTAAAATTAATAACGTGTGCCCTTCCTCTTATCTAGTGTTAGTCTTCCACATGTGTTTACTAATTTAGTTTCTGAGCATGGTAGATTGTAAACATGAGGCCATTTAAAGCATTTTCATAAAGCCTGGTACAGAGGAGCATTCAAAGAATATCATTGAACTTAGAATCATTTTGCTTATGTTTGACTGTGATTTTTGTATGTTTTTATTTTCTCAGGTGAACTCAGAATAGAGAATGGTGAGTTTTAATAATATTTTATATACAAAATACAGTTTTCCAACAGTTATATATCACTATTTCTTTATCTTTTTGTTTTTTATTATTACTTTATAGAAGTATCAATTTGTGAGTTTTATCTATTCTAAGAACAAAATCCTTTAAATATTCTATCAATCTATCTTTCTGTCCTTCTCTAAAAGTTAATACACTTTATCCCACACCTATTATTTGATCATTTTTGATTGCATTTATAAATTACTTCACTGATTTCAGCAGTATTCTTCATTTGTTTCGCAGGTGAACTTAGAACGGAAAATGGTGAGTTTCTAATCTTGATCTGCTCTCACAAGGATATTGCCAATAGAGCCATATGTTTAGCAGTAGCAAAGAGGTAATGGATATCTTCATCTTCAAGGTTGAGAATAAATAAAACTTTACCTGTAGCACACTTCTAGCACTCAGTTTGCATTTTTCTTTCATTTAATCTTTTTCAAAATTTTGTCCTGTTTGCTTTTTTTTTTTTTTTTTTTTTTGACTTTTTCCTTTTTATCGGTAACAGGGATCGAACTCACGACTGCCTGCTTGCAAGGCAGGCGCTTATGCCACTGAGCTAAATCTCCAACCCCCCTGTTTGCTTTTTCAACTGCCAAGTTTTTGTGTACCTACTTGTTCAGGAAATTAAAAGATATTTTAAACTTAAAAAGGTAGATATTTCACCATCACATGTGTACAAATTACGTAACTAAAGTTAGGCCATTTCTTGACTGAGTTGACGTTGTCTTATTTCATTTCATGATCGCTTGTACTGATCAGGTGCTTTAATTGAACTAAAAGTTATGATGAGCTGAGACAACCCCTCTACAGCGCCCATTCAGTGACTTCCTGTACACACCAGGGCTGCGCCACTCTCACCTGCTTGTAGCTCCCAGCGCTGTAGCCGGTGCACTCAGGGCGCCATGAGCAGTCAGCTCTGCTTCCCCACACTCAGCCTTTGATAGTCACTGTTCTGCTTTTTATCTATTGATTTATCCACTCTGCTTACCTCATATCTACAACACCACAGGGTATGTGACATTTTGTGGCTGCCTAGTTTCAACTGCATAGACTTTTCCACATTCGACAAGTTGTAATGTGAGTCAGAGCTTTATGTTTTCTTTGTGACTAACACTCCACTGGATGATTATGCACAGTCTTTATTAATCATTAAACTATGGACTTAGGGATTCTTCCAGATTTGGGCTACTGGGATACTCTTTTCATGGACATTACTGTATAAGTGAACCTAAGGCAGTCCTTCCACCTCTGCATTCCAAATGGTGAAATTACAGGCTTGTGCCAACACACTAATGTATCAATGATTTTACATTATATTTTATTCTCCTTTTGTTTCCTTGTAATTCTTCTATATTTTTATTTCTCAGATTAATTTAAGAAAAAGGATAATAAACTGTAATATCATTTTATGTACAAAATGTAATCTTATCTTTATTTATACCTGCTTGATTTTTGCATTCCTCCTTTCTTCTTACTACAAATATCTCTGCAATTTTTATGGTTTCTCACTAATAAAAACCCATTAGTCAATCCTGTTCTCCTCCTCCTCCTCTGCCATCACTACTTCCTTCCTTTTTTCTTCCTTCATCTCCTTGTATTCTCCTACCAGTTAATTCACCTTTTACATGTACCTTTCCGTTTCTGTATTGCACTACATTTTGGCTGTGTCCAGGACATTAAAAATGACTCCTTCTTAGGGCTCTTAGATGAATGAGATTTTTGTAAGAGATTGAAACTCAAAGCACTTCCTTTGCCCAGCTCCTCATTCTGAGAGTAATTAAGAGCAGTCCTTTGGTGGTTCCATGGAAGAGAAATCCACCCTCTCTCCCTGGAGGCTGCCTCCCCAGCCTGTTACTCCATGAGTGAGGGACCATGGCGCAGGGTTTCAGTCTCCCCTTTAGAGTTTAACAGACCTGCATGCCAGTGCTCCCCTCTCCCTTCTACACTTGGAGGAGCAACACTGCACATGACCTAGGTAGCACTCAACTCAGTAGTTGGCTAAATGTCTTAGTAAATGCCTAATTTATGGAAAACAGTGAAAAACTGTAACTAGAGTTGCACAGGTGACATATGACAGGGCAACACTATAAATATCAGTCTTCAAATTTAAGGTGAAAAAATACTTCATGGGAGAATTTGATCATTCCTTCCTTAAATGTCAGCTGAAAAATTATCCCTGTATACTTGTTATGTCTTTTCTTTCCTTTTCTTTGTTCAAGTATTGTTCAAAGTGAATATAGTGATTTTAAAATCTTAATAAACTAACCCATGTAATTATATATAATCCTATCAAGCAAGGCTTTTCTTCATTCTTTGATGTTAAAACCTAATTTTCACATTTGTGTTTCAGAAAAGCTGCGAAAGGAAATTGGTAATTGTATTTTTCCAATGAAAATATTTATAAATATCTCTCATGTCTAAAGGAGTCTCTTGCTTCACTTCATATTTCATCTTTATGCTTATCTGTGATGGTTTGGGTGCAGAGGTCCCCTCCAAACCTCATGCAATCATGGAGGAAGCTGAATCTAGCATTTGTGACTGGTTCAGTGTCTGCTATTGGGATTGGTGGTGTGAGTGCCTTACCCGCTCAGGGGCAGGGAAGCAGCATACAACGCAAGGGAGGGAAGGAGGCTGCTTTCCCTCTTCTGCAATTTGGCTCTTGTTGTTTGCTGCCACCGTGAACGGCTGCCTCTCAGGCACGCCACCCTATCTTAGAGCCAGCTGAGTATGGGCTGAATCCTCCAAAAACCTGTAAGGTAAATAAACCTTTCCTTGCTGGACTTTGGGTGTCATGTATTTTGTCTCAGCAATGAAAGAAAAATAACCAACACATTACCTGAATACCTTTTGAAATTCCAAGTTGCCACTCTATAATAGTTAAAATGCTAGAAATAATTTGCCTGCCTATCTTGATGAAATGTTTAATATTATATGATTCATCTTGATTTTCTTTCATGAGAATCAATATTCGAAAGCAGCAATGACTTGGCTAGTGTGACACTAATAAGACTGTAAATGAGTCTCAGAGAGATGCATGTCTTCTTTATATGTCTTTATCTCATTAAGAGACTCAAACCTTTGTGCTCCTTCCTTTCAGATGATAGGAAAGCTCAGTTTGACAATGGTAAGTACCTCAGAAGATCTCACAAACTTACAATGCCATAAATAATAAAATGCCTTAACCTCTCCTAACCTCAGTGCAGAAAATCAGGCCTAAGATAATATTGCCTGAAATCACTGTTTGGCAGTGAAAGATGAAATAAAAGGACTTCAGTTTTTTCTGGTTTGGAATATTTTAATGTGCATGGAAAAGTACTTTTATGCACATTTTGTAAGTTTTCTTTTCACATCTATTCCCACTCATTTTTGTTTAAATATTTCTCTCAACCTCTATGTTTCCCTTTCTTCTAATTCTTGTGTTTTTATTTTTATGTCTTTTTTCTTCATCCCTTTCTGATGCTTCCTTCTTTCTTTCTTTCTCCTGTCTTCTTCTTTCCATTTATTTCTCTGTTTTTCCTCCTTTCCATCATAATTCCTCAAACTCTCCATATTTCTTTCCATTGTTTGGGTTTTTTCCTTGCCATGTCATTTCCTTTCTTTGCTGTTTTTAGCTTATGTTTTTATAAATTCTTATGTGTTTGTCAATATTTGTATTTCTCTGTTCACAAAAAGACAATATTTTTAAGATGAGAAAATGAAATATTGTTTAAAAAAAGGAATTATTGTGAGCAAGAATAGGGATACCGATAAAAATGCAGCTGAATATTTACAGAATGACAAGGATAAAATAAAAGGAAAAACACTCCTTCATGATAAAAAAAACAACAACCTACAGAGAGCAGCAGTCATGAACCAAGTAGAGAACCAACAAGTAAATCTACTTTTCCATGAGCCAGGAGCACTTGTGGGCCAGGAAAAGAACCAAGAAGTCACCCAACACTTCTCATGAGCCAAATCTACTAAAAGAACAATCAGGTAGCAATCTTCAAGACAGAGGTATAGGCAGAGACTTCATAAAAAAACTGCACTAGAAATACTTCAAAGAATAAGAAACAGAGGTCTCGTCTTATTAAAAAGCTCTTTGACATCGAAAGTAATCATTAAAAAAGTAAAATCACAACACAAAGAATGGTAAAAATTTTAGCCAAATTAGAAGTGCTCAGATGAAGCACTTCTATTTAGAAAACATAAAGAATTTAAAAACAAAAAAAGCCAAAAATGGGCATTTGAGAATGAGTGAACACTTCTCAGATGAAGAAATAGAAATGGAAAATAAATACATGAACAAATGTTCAGCATTGTTAGTCATTTGAGCGATGCAAATTAAAATATTGAGATTCCATCTTGCTCCAGAAATAACGGATGCTATCAAGGAGTCAATCAATAACAAAATCTGGATGGGCAATGGGGAAAAATAAACATTTTCCACTGTTGTTAGGTGTGCAGACTGATGCAACCACTGTGGATTTCAGTGTGGCAATTCCTCAAAAATGTAGGATTAGATGTCCCATTCTCTCTAGCTATTTCATGGTACCTTCCTGGAAGAATTATAAACATCATACCACAGTAAAATATGTGCACCCATGTTTATAGCAGCACAGTCTGTAATAGCTAAATTTTGAAACACCCCAAATGCCCAATAATTTAAGAATGGATAAAAAGGATGTGACATTTTTATATGCTGGAGTACTACTCGACCATAAAGAAGGATTAATTCCAGACATTTACTGGTAATAACTTGAGATGATATTCATAAGTGAGCTAAGTCAGACTCACAACTGTAAGCATTGTATTGTCTTCCCAGTGTGAGAAACGGAAAAAGTTAATAAGGTCTATAATGTACAATATTTAATGTGAAAAGGGAAAAAATTCTTCAAAAGGGAAAATGAAACATGATGGTGGAAAGAGAAAGGAAGGATGGGAAAGAGGAAAAATTCAGTTCAGCTATATAACAGTGTCTTTCAATTCAATGAAAAGGAAGGTTTTGTGGTACTGTCAATTAGAGAATATTTGATGCCCGTATATTGTACACTGAGTAATTGCTTTGAAGATAACAATATGTAATGTACTACCTAATGTTACTCTAGTATTATTTTGTTTTACCTTTTTTGCATAATATACAATTTAAAGAAGAGGAATTAATATGACAAGAAGCAGAAACATAAACGATATCTCCTCATTTTGTATACTTGCAGGCTGGCAGAATTCATATTTGTTCCCTGGTGAGTGACTTTGTCCTGTGATAATTACTCTTGATCCAAAGACATATAATCTTGTAAGACAGCATACTATGAAATGCAGAGAGAAATATATACTACCTAACTTCTGTTCCATAAAAACTTAGCAAGTACATTAACGTTTAAAATATCTGGTTTTTCCCTCACCTATTTCTCCTGACATGTAAAAGTTAATAAAACTAGATACCAAGAAATGAATATAAAATTTTGTTTACTCCATTGAATCTGCCTTCCCTACAAATTAAATATGTGTTAATTTCCCCTACTTAACAGTGATTGTACCATACTTTTTTTATTTCAGTATTCTTTAACATTATTTATGATTTCTGCTTTGAAGTTTATGTTTGTTAATCCTAATTCTGAGTCCCAATTCAAACAGTTACTACTGATGCTTCTCTTCCAGGGTATTTTTCATGCTTTCCTATCCTGTGCATGCCTTATACTATTTGGTTACAAATGAACTAGTACATACTACAGATTCCAATTGTGTTCCTTCTATTGAGACTGCTACTTCTATTGATGCTTTTGGCTTGGCTAACAACTTGTAGAGATTAAATTCATAGTCTTTCTCTCAATTAATGTGTGACAAGGTCTCTGCTCAGCATTATTCATTATATTTTTTAACTGGCCTTCTAGGACTCATCCATGGTTCAGCAATGGAAGGAACAAAGTTTGTGATTAAGTACTTTGGAAAATTACATTTTATCAGTGGTTCATGATATTGTATTTGCTCTAGAAATTTCTTCAAATTTCAAGCAGTTATGTAGACTTCCTCACATTTTACTATGCGCATACCTAGTGTCAAAGCTGGGGATTTAGCTCAGCGGCATAAGCACCTGCCTTGCAAGCAGGTGGTCGTGAGTTCGATGCCTGGTACCGATAAAAATGAAAAAAGACCAAAAAAAACCCAAAAACATACATGGTGTCAAATATTCAACAAAGGAAAAGTTCAATACAAAAGAACTACTTTTCATACTGAGTATATGTGTAAAATTGTGTATTTGGAGCCTCCAAGGGAACAGAAATCTATCAAAGCTCACCAAGGTGTACAGTAGTTATTTTGTAGAACTCAGGAATATTAACAGTCACTTGCCCAACCCCACACATAACATGATAGTAGCAGCAAAGAGAGCCAAACACGATTGTTTGAAACTGTTTCTGGAGAGCTTCATTCCTGCACTTTTGCTATTAAAGCATTCCTACGGCATTTAATATATAGGACTCTATCTCTTAACAGTTTAAACCCTTTAGCATCTACACTACTGGAATTCATGGTTTGCAGAGACCTGGTAGAGTCAGAACCAGGCACTTAGGGACTGTAACAGGACCTACCATCCAGAGTCATGCCATTTTCTGTGAAGCATCACACTTTTCCAATATTAGTGTTTCGGAGTTTGGTGTGTGACTTTCCAAATTCCCTGAACTCTAAAATGCTCATCTTTGAAAAACTAATACTTTTAGTCTTTTGGGGAAATGATTTGGCAGGCTAAGTCACCTTTCTCCATTTTATAGGCATCCAGTTAAGGTCATGTATCAACAATGACATCCAAAGTTCAATTACAAACACATTTGCCTACCTTATTGATGTTTTTGCAGATCTCTCTTTACAGGTGCTCTCTTTATGGCTGTGAAATCTATCATCTCAATTTGTGTATTCCTTAAGTAACTATATTCATTAACCAAATTACAACATTTGTTTCTGTATTTTTAATCTCTGTCTCTTCTTATGGTTAGTCTACAAAGAGTTGGCACAAATTCTTTATGAAGGAGCAGACAATGAGTATTTTAAGGCTTATGTGCTTTATTGTCCCCATCACAACTAGTCTATCCCTGATGCATGAAAAGAGCCATAGGCAATAAATGAATGAATTGTTGTGACTGGTTCTAGCACAATTCTATTTACAAAAAGAGATTTGGAACTGTTTTTGGATCTTTGTTCATAATGTAACTCCTAAATTTTATACAGCCTGAAAATCACTCAACTACAGAGATGTCTTATTAGTTCATAATTTTTTAAAAAGTGAATAATTTTGCTATAAGTAATTTATTTTCAATAGTGTACCATTACATCCTCAGTGAGTGCCTTCACACCCAAGTACTGATGCTTCCCAATGCAGACCTTCCAATCTGCTTGCACACAGCACTGCATGTAGTGAGCAATAATGATTCCCTAAAACCTTTTTCTAGATAAACAATGTGACACTGTCACACGATCTGCTTTCCACATAATGCATACAGTTTTAACCAGATTTCCTTGCTTCCTGTCATGAACGACTGTATATGCAGACAGCCTTCTCTGCTTCCCTACTCCTGTTACCCAAACTCAGTCAAGACTACAAATTGGAAGCAATCAGCACAGGACTTCATTCTAAGTCTGCATATCTAAATTGTGTGGCAGTAGAAATTATGAGTTTTGTAAAACATCGACTGATTCTACTCAGTAGGGAATTAAGCACAGTTGTCAGGGGCAAGTGTAGGGCATTCTGCACTCATGCATATTATAAGCTAGACACCCGGATATTCCTGGAAACTGTTCAGAATGGTGCCTTTAATACTAGGAGTTGTTAATATCCTAGTCTTCTACACTCTCCAATTTACTTACAGCCTATTCCGACCTGGGGTAAGAAGCTGCTGTAGTAAGAGCGAGAAGGGAGAAATTCATCTGCTTTACTCTCAGGTGTGAGAATGGTACCATGACCGCTGTGCACAGTTCATCAGCCAGAGTGGGATAATTCTCCCACCTAAATGTAGGAGGAAGCTGACTGCAGAATGTGTGATTTCGTTGTTTCTTGGGAAGACAGTAACTATATCCTATTCTATATCTGCAGTCTACACCACAGGAGGTACAAGCCAGAGCTATTACTTTCTATGCGAACATTTAATGATGGACAGTGGAAAACACATTTCAAACAAGAGATGTAGAATATGTTTTAGACATTACCAAACAGGAAAACAACCAAAAGAAAATATTTTAAAGGAAAAAATTTTGTCATGTCAGAAATTCAAATGTAAGTTATAATAATATATATTTATGCTCTTTTCAGACTGGAGGAAAAAATACTACCAAGCTGGTGAGTCTGACCAGCCAAGAGTGACTACACTCCTCAGGCTCTGCACAGTCTCGGGTGAGCTCTAAGTGGGGAGACAGGTGACAGAAGGCTTGGGACAGTATATTCTCCTCACTGCTCCCAGACATCTCAGGTTTCAAAACCATTCTAAGTACAAGATCACTCTAGTCTTCTCAGAGATTAAAAGGTTGATCTCCTTTGCAGCAAGTGTGACTCTGAACCCAGAGACAGCCCATCCTGCCCTCAAATTGTCTGAAGAAAGACGACGAGTAACAATGGGGGAGAAACCTCAAGATCTTCCTAGGAACCAGCTGAGATTTGAATCCCTTCCCTGCGTGCTGGGGCAACAGTCCTTCAGCTCAGAGAGGCACTTCTGGGAGGTGAAAGTTGACAGCAGTACAGCCTGGGACCTGGGAATATGTCAGAGTAACGTGATGAGAAAGGAGAGGACTTACATAAAACCTGAGGACGGTTTCTGGGCCATTAGGTTTTATAATGATGAGTACTATAATGGCGAGGCACTCACCTCGCCAGAGACTCAACTAAATCTAAAAGAGCCCCCTCGCACGGTTGGCATTTTCTTAGACTACGAAAATAGACAAGTCTCCTTCTACAACATGACAGACAACAGCCACATCTACACCTTTTCTCAAGGTGATTTTTATGGATCCCTGAGACCTTTCTTCAGACTTTGGTCCAAAGATTCGGGACATCTGGACATCTGTCCACTCCCTAATGAGCCGGAAGTGGCACAACTTGATGATGACCCTAACTCTACTCTCATTGCGGTTGTGCATACATAACATCCCTAAAGTTTAGTGAGGGCTGAAACATTGGTCATGGCATGGATCTTCCTATACTAGAGCATATTATTTTACTCAGTCTTTCAACTGTTCTTCTAATCATTTAATTTCCCTCATAAATTGTTATCAAATATTATGTAGTGTAAGGAAATTGTTGATTATGCTCTGATTAATGCAAATATATGTATAAGCATGTAGAACAACACAGTACGTATTGTAATCCAATCCTTATTACAGAGTTACACAGGGAAATGTGCACTGCCTATCCCAGATCAGGTTCTCAAATATTTTACAAAACTAGCAATAAAATGGATTAAATCCTATTATATACTTTGGGTTATGTGGTTATGAAATGACACACATAAAAATCAAATTACAATGTTTTAAATAGAAAAATAATCAAAGTGTTCTCAGTGGTCCAAAATAGTATCACATTCAGGAGAAAACAAGTGTGTGAATCTCATGCCTCAGTTTCCTGCATGGGAAATACACCTGAAATATACTCTTAGGTCATCATAGCTTTCTTTATCCTCTGACACAGTTATTCTGTCCTGGGTTTTCATTACAATTTATTTTAGAGGGCATATTCTTAACATATGTGACAAATCTTGCTACATTTATCATCTGTATGAGCTTTAATGAGTAGTTTGATTTTTTGGCTACTGTACACATGATAAATAATGGTTCCATTACACAAATAAAATTTCCCATGCTGTTCCTATGTGATCAGATTCTCCCACACACGTATCATGGATACAACTGACCAACTTCATTATTCTGCACTTTTGTATTTTGAGGGATGTCCTGGTAGTGTTCATATAATGTCTAATCTTTTGAAAATGGTTGCTTTCCTTCTGTGTAACACTCTACATGTCCATACATGTTAACATAGATAGAATTTAGTTGTTCACTGAGTAGAGTTCCACAGAACAGATATACTATTACTTGTTTATTCCTTCATGATGTACACTGGTGCTGTTTCAGTTTGGAGTGGTTCTAAAAAGAACAGCTATAAATATTCAGGTAAACATTTTTATACGAACATGTTTTCACTTTTTATTGTATATAGATATTTGGTGTTATGGTTTATAACTTTACACATTCATAGGGCGGTATCTTTGGTGGTTGCTGGATCATGGGTATGTGACACTTATCGCTGGATTCATCCCTGATGAGTTTGCAGCTGGGAGTGATGTTGGGAAGTGGCGCCTGGTGGGAAGAGGTGGTTCACGATGCATCCTAACTGAAAGGATGTGTCTCCCTCCTCCTCCACTTGTTCCTCCCTGCTTTCATCTTACAGACTTTTCTCCTCTCCTATGCCCCAACTGCTATCTGTGATGCCTTGGAGCCAACCAACCTGTGTAAACTGTGAACTAAAATAAACACTTTTTTTGCCTCTCTTTGTATTGGGAATCAAAGTCAGCACCTTGTGCTTACCAGGCACGTGCCTGTGCCACTAAGCTATATCCCCGGTCCTATCTTTTCTTACTTAACTCCTAGTTCTTGGGTACTGGATCTCATCATGTGAAAGAAACTAAGATATTGTATCATATTCTAAGAGTAGACTAAACATTAATAGAAACTGCCATACTCTTCCAGAAGAACTATACCATTATACACTCCCTCTACAAATATGTGTTTCAATTTCAGCACATATTCACTGGCTCTTAATATTGCCAGAACTATTTGTAGTTTTCATTTTTTATTGCTTCAATCATATCCATTAATATTTTTTCCTAAGCATTATGACATATAATCTATCTGAGGTCAGGATTCAGCAGGGTAAGTACTTGGAATCAACACATCTTATTTTTCTTTAAGGCTCACATTCATGAAGGTATGTCTATAGGTCCAAGGAATGGGAATCCTTTGAACAGTACAGCTCAAAACATTTGGTACAGTAATCGTGAAGGAGCACTATTCCACTCAGGATGCATATATAAATCACCTCAATATGTTAGCTCATGTCACTGTGGATCAATCTCAACATTACTAAAGAGGGCTGATTATACACCTTCTGTCTATAACTAGTAATAATTTTGTCAACCTTATAGTTTATAATTCTCTATACTTTATAGTTTAAAGCAAATCACCCTTTTCAAAGACATGATCATGGGTTTTTAAAGGCCAGAATTGAAGTGCTCTCATTTAAAATGAGAATGCTCCACATCATGCGCTTATAGCCAGGGTCTCTGGAAGGTGACTGAATTGTGGAGGAGCTATACCTCATTGCTGTTAGGTCATAGGGCCTGGTATGAAGAAGCAGATCACATGGGGCTTAACATGAATGAGTACATTTCCTCCCTGGTTTCTCCAGTCTCTCTCTTCTTCCTGAATGTCATGATCTAAGCAACTTCCTTCCGTCCTGAATCCACCCAAGCATAGACTGAAAAAGGAAACCAAATGAAACCTCTCCTTTAAATTTCAGGTATTGGGAAGTCAGTCCCAGTAATGATGAAAGAGAGTAGACCAGGAATAAAAACACAGCTAGATAAAAGGAATAATCTCTGCTGTTCTCTATCATGGTAGGATGAATATAATTCATAACTTCCCATGTATTTGATGAAGATCTGGAAGAGAATGCAAAAGCTGCAAACATAGAAAAAATATTCTTATTTGAAAAGTTCATTCTGTATACATATGTTGAAATGTAACAGTGGAAACCATCAATTATTGACTTAATAAAAAAAAAACTAAAATTTCAGGGACTACAGGGAATGAGAACAAGAAGTCACAATGAAGCAAGCCCTCCCTGCAAATCGGCACTATGTGTGGGCCACTGGGGGATGGGCCAGACTCCAGCCTTTTCCCATGAGTCAGCACCATTGGTGGACTGCAGGTAAGAGAAAAAGTCACCAAGAAGCAAGCCCTCCCTGCAAACTGGTGCCAGGCACTGACAGCTTGAGGGAGAGTCAGATACTAGACCATTCCAGCATGTGGGCTGGGAAACAGAAAGAGCCAAATCTCCTCTCTCCTCTGCTATATTCTGGAGAAACACAGGCTGCCATGATAGCTATTGATGTAAAGTACAACTTATTTATTTTTATTTTTTAATTTTATTTTAAAGAGGATAAAACTGAACACAACAGAATAGAACAAAACAGAACATAAGAAAGCAATTTAAGACACATAAATTTCAAAGCAAGACAATCAGAGATCTTCACTATCTATCATATTGTCTCTTTTCTTCCAAATAGTTGACCATAACTTCATATACAGAGAATTCACATGAAATAACATAGTATAGAAGTGATCTGAACAAGATGAGGAATGTGTTTTAGGTATTCAAATCAGACAACAGGGAAGTCAACAATGGCTGTCCAATTGTGTCTTTCATTCTCTTCAAAATAGCATTCCATACCTTCATGCATGTTAAAATTAAGCAAAACAAAACAGGCTAAAGTCACTCTGACCAAAGAATATTAGTATTGCTGGATTTCACATCATGATGCTATGGGATCAGCACTGGGTACATTACTGTCTCTTTCTTGTTAATGTAGTTGTTCATTTCATCATGCAGTTCTCATAAACTGTTTATAGGTTCTATGCATACATGAATCTCTTCATATATTTTTATTTTTTCTGTATTAGAGGGAAAAACAAAACAAAACACAGCAAGACAAAACAAAATATATTCCTATAAAAACATGAAACAAAAAGTCAGATAAAATCACAGTACAAGGTGTTCTACAATGGTTACTGTGTTGTCTCTTGTTATCTTCAATAGAATTGTTTATATCATCAAGCATAGTATACTTGAAGTAGAAGTACATAAAAATATTAATAAAAACAAAACATTGTAGATAGTATAAAACTTCAAAAGCAGAGAATAATCAAACCAGAATGGGTATCCTAGTGAATCTTGTCATCTTCAGTATAGTTGCTTATATCCTCAGACTTGATACTATCAATCATAACAGATTTGAATAAAATTTGTTGATACCAAACAGCAATATAATAAACCAGATTCAAATAAGATCAGTCATGGTAAAACAATATAAGTTACACAGGGCTTTAGATTAAGTTAATAGGAAATTAAGGATGATTACCATACTATATCCTGATATTTTGGGGATAGCTGTTTGTGCCCTCAAATCTAGTGTAAGCAGACAAACTGAAATAGAATATAATATCTATATATCTATATATATATAATATATCTATATATAATACCTATATAAACAGAATGGTGAGAGTAACATGGGTTTTAAATCCTGATACACTATTAATATCCTCTGCCTTCTTTTTTTTTAGACTATTCCTCTCCTCTCAGTTCCACCAGATGTACTGTGCATTTTAGGTCCCAACAACTCCCTCAGTTTTTAGATTGGCGGACAACCTACTATTTACCTAAGTGGTACCAAACCTTCTAACTCCTGGACTTGGTCTTAAGTTGAATTCCTTTACCTACAAATGTCTGTCTTTCCAAGCTATCTGCAGGTGCTGGTTGAGTTGTCCCTTTTACTCGCTGGTTCTGTCACATAGAGCATTGTTTTCTCATATTTGATTTTCACTCCATAAACCCTTTTTCAGATTAATTTCAGAGCGTCTCAGTGGGCCCTATCTCCTGATCTATTCTGCCTGTGTCTGTCTTTTTTTTAGTGTATCAAGGCCATTCACATTAGATACTATAGCCAATCTCTGCGTCATTTCTGCTATGCTATTTTTCTGCCATTAGTTATCTGCTTTTCTCTTTCATTACACTTTCTGCCCCATTTATTGGGACCTCTCAGCCACTGTTCCTGAAATCTTGGTACTTTTTTCTCACTCTAGAATGTCCTTCAGTATTTTCTGTAGGGTTGGATTGGTGGTTGTGATTTCCCCCAGTTCCTCTTTGTCTTGGAGGCAACTTGTTTCTCCATTAATTTTTAGAGACAGTTTTGCAGGGTACATCAATCTGGGCTGGGTTACTTTCTTTCACTCCAATTTCTTCTTGATTTGATGGTTTGTATCGAGAAGTCTGTCATGATTCTGATGGGTTTTCCTTTATAGGTGATCTGTTTCTTTTCTCCAACAGCTTTTAATATCCTGTTCTTGTGTTGAATTTCTGGGATCTTGATTATTATTGTCTGAGTGTAGCTCTGTTTTGGTTGTAGGTGGTTGGAGTGCTATATGTCTCATACATCTGAATAC